CACTTTATTATTTACTTGATCTTAATTTCAAGTCAAACATGATGAGTATTCTAGGAAGAACGTAGTAATTAGAAAAACTATAACAAAAGCATTTTATACCAATATTTGATATTGGAGTAATAGTTACTCAATGTCATTTTTGACGCTCATCATGAGTCAACTCCTGACAACTACTCTACGTTTTAACATAGGAGTCATGTTGCGTACATCCGACTCCTTGCCCCGTAATGGACGGGAGCCTTTGCAACACTTGTACGAAATGTGGTCCTAGAAATAGCTGTTAGGTTTCTCTCTTTAGTCAAATAATAATGTGAAGTATAAAAGCTACTTCATCTCCCACTCTCCCTCTGTGGTCCAAACCAAAGATTCTTGAATTGACGAAACAATGAAGGAATAACACTCATTGCAATTGACCACAGGATAGAAGTCACAGAACAACTGACATATGCAACCATTAGGATCACAGGTAATAATGGTTGTTGTAAGGGAAATTGGTGCAACAATCATGTCCCCAGCCTTAGGGGCTAGATTTGGTGAATAAAGTGGAGCACCGATGAGTTTCTTTGTCACACTCATCATATTTGTTTTGAACAAGTATAACTCTATCGGGATCAAACTTGGTAAAATTGGGGGACCACGGACTAAATCCTGGATTGAGCAAGAGACCTCTACGGCGAACACATATACCTCAGAATCATATTTTGGTTGACCTTCAATTTGATGAAATGCATGAAGTTTCTTTATAATCTCATCCACGGAATCTTCAACTGCACACACTCCTTCATAAAATTCAATTTGTCCCCGTAGAACTTTCTCGAGTAAACCAATAACTTTGTCCAACAGTGAATCCATTGCCAAAGAAACACCACCACACAAAAATATCACTAAAAAGTTTTAGTAATAATACCTCAAATCTTGTGTGAAGGACTTTTACCAATATATGGGTCTTTGTTTTTTTGGGCGATCAACTTGGGACAGTAGAAAGCTTCTTGGGATTTTTTTATGAGTTGAAGAATGAAAGCACCAATTGATACGATATCGTATCGGGATAAGGAAGGATTTCAAGCACCTTCAAGCTCCAAGAACAAAAGAGGCGAGAAAGAGAGAGAGAGATTGAGGTTTAGGAGAAAGTATTTTCTTCATTCATTAACTAATAATTTATTGAAATGGAAACATTTATAGATATGACATCTAAAGAATCCTTACCATAAAAGGAAACTAAATAATCTAGGAATTCTAATTATAAATGGTAACAAATATCCTAAAAATAGAATACTACTTTCTAATAATAATATAATTAACTAACCATAAACAATGATACTACCTAATATAATAATAATAATAATCACTAACCATTAATAATAGTAATAATAATAATGATAATTAATCCCGTATCATATTATTAAATACTACTCTTTCCGTCTTAAAACTTTTTTCACATTTTGGTTTACGAAGTTTAACTAAAATTATTTTCAATTTAATTTATTTTCTTATAGGTGTAAAATTAAAAAATAAAAATTATATATTTAAAAACTACATCAAATGTTCTACAAAATAAGATGTGACATGATCATATTATTATACTCCCTCCGTCCCGTTTTAAATCGCATGTTTTGACTTTTGGACATGTTTAAGGAAAAGAAAAAATAGAGTTGATTTTCCAAAATTGTCATTACTTTTTAGGAGGGATGATGAAGAATGAGAAGATAAGGTGTAGAAGAGTGACCTATTTTTAGGAGTAGTTTAGGTATTTTACTCTTAAAAGTTTACGATAACAAGTAACAGACAACTTATTTTGGAACGGAGAAAAAAAGCAAACAAGCAATTTAAAATGGGATAGAGGGAGTATAAAATAACTAACAAAATAAATAAAAATATTTAATGTTGAGTATAAGGAAGAAAAACCAAAATAGCACTCTAAGAGCATTAAAATACTCTAAATAGCAGTGCTATATGTTTCGTACCTGTAATTCCGATTTTGTCCTTTAATTAAACAGCATATGTTCATTATTCACTGCCAAAAAATATGATTATTTTGGGCAGTGTGGTTGTTCACTCGTAATTGTGTAGTGGACAGTGTGGTTTTTTATATGTGAGTTTTTAATGTGACAATGTAGAATAGATATATGTTGTTATATCTTACGGCAGTGTGTAAATGTATTATTGTGTACCTTAATTCCATGTTGTAGTATAATGTCCATTGATTTATGTGGCAGTGATTTCATGTATTAATTCTACACTGTCAAAAAATGTATGACTATTTTCATGTATGAATTCCATACTGCCCAAAAAATGTATAGCTCTTTTTATGTATGAATTCCACACTATTTTTATGTATGAATTCCACACTGCCAAAAATGTATGTGATTGTTTTCATTTATGAATTCCACACTGCCCAAAAATGTATGACTGATTTCATGAATAATCTATTGCACAAAAACACACTGGCCAAACATGGGCTTGGCCTTTTTTTGGTCTTTATTGATTTTGTATAATGTTAGAAGATGTTAGTATTAGACATATGCTGAATTTCATTTATGTGGTACTAAAAAGAAATAGATAATGAAGGTATTATGTTGTAAATTTTAAGACTTTGTAAGCAGCATACACTGCAACATTATGTAAAATTGTGCAACATAGCACACTGGCCAAAACATAGGACATAACACACTGTCAAAAAGTATACCTAGATCACAAGAAGTACACACTGCCAAAAATCTTTGAGCTTACACTTCATACTTTGTTTATTAAAGTTATTCAAGCACTAGTCATTTTGGTGATTTTTTTGTGTCCGCTTCCAATAGAACTCAATGAATAATTTATTACATTGAGATTTTTAGATATAAATTCCATTCGACCAAAACACACTAGGCAAACATGGTCATAGGACATTTCCAAAAAGTGTAGCTAGAAGTTGATTATTCCACACTGTAAAAAAAATATCAGCCCCTATTCAGTAACACGTTTCCATAACGAACTCTTGAATGTTCAAACCCAATAGTCATAGAACGAAGCACATGGCTTTTGCACAATATGAAATTCAATTCATAATTCATAACATATGCAGTTTTATATGTATGTCTAATTTCACTGTCATATTATTAATGGAAGTTAATGAAGTACATACAAATTTGTTTAGGTCGCTAACTTTTATACACTGCCATATTTTCACTCTTGTCTGCCACATTATATATAGAAGACAATTTCACTGCCAAAAAGTGTTTGCATAACATGATCAATCTGTACTGTCCATATATTTATATCCACCATATTGAGTAACACATTTCATAACAATCTCTTTCATGGTAAAACCCTATTGTCATAAAATCAACCAGAAGCTGTTTGCACAATATGAAAGTCAAATAATAATTTATAACATTGGTAGTTTTATATGTAAGTCACATTGTCACCACTTCTTTATAAAATTTTTTATGTAGTTTTTTAATATATAATTCCTATTTTTTAATTATACAATAATTTTTACTTATATTGATTTGAAAATAACTTCAATCAAACATCGTAAATCGAATAAGAGCCATATTTTGGGATGAAGGAAGTATTTATAATTGACATATTTTTATGATATAATTTTGATATATCGTATTTTTATTATATATATTTATTCAAAACTACATTTAATTGATTGACGAAAGAATTTGATAAAAAAGAGTACTATGCCACTATACACAAAGTATACATTATGTGAGTCCGAATTTGATATAGGAGTTGAAAGAGGAATTGAAACAATTGATAGTGGGATAAATAAAAGGGGTTGACAACATAAAGGGTATGATTGGAAGAGATTGACAACATAAATAGCTAATTTGGTAAAAAACAATAAGCAGTGCTAAATGCGTAGTATTAGATGAGTTGGAGTGCTACGTAGGGTGATTTCTTATATGAATAATGTTTAAGAAAAGTTTTAGAATAATTGAAAAATGTGTCATTAAAAGAGACACGATATGTCGAAATCACATTTTCATTGTTTTGACTTTTGAAATGTCTACTCAAATGAAAAGTTGATAGGGAGAAAGATCAAAGTAGGACTAAAACATTGAAAACATACCAAAATAGGACTTCCATGTTTTTATTCCCGAAATAGGACTTACATAACAAACATGGCCATATACATTACCAAAAAAGTATAGTAATCTGCACATGTACACTGCTACATTACCACAATGAAAAGTCATATTACCACAGTGCCAAGTCCTATTTCGAAAAAAAAACATGGAAGTCCTATTTTGGTACTTTTCTCTATGTTTTAGTCCTATTTAAGATGATTTCTAAAGTTGATAATTGTCGTTAGGCATGCAAGTACATTGACATAAGTTTACAAAAATCTTTGTGAGGTCTAATAAAAGTTATCGAAGAAGTTAGCAAATTCTTTTGTTCGATCTAAGGTCCATAGCCATTATATACATCTTAGTGTATTTGTAGTATAAAAGAAGTGAGACTTTTCAAAAAAAATATATTTATATGCAAGTTAATGAAAAATGTATAAAATTCATATTCTAAATATGGACGACAATCTAAATTCTAAACATCACTCCAACCGATAAGAGGGTGTGCACTATCTATAACTTGCATAATACTCGGTATATACATTGGTTCAAGAAGCAAGCAAACTAAGATCATTGTCTCTCTACTTGATCTCGATATGAAAAAAGGCTAAAGAGTAAAACATTAAAAATATATCTAAATAGAAATTTCATGTATTTATTTCTGAAATAAGAATTAAAATGCATTTTCATTACCAATCATGACAATGTAGATAATGTAAAATATATATGTACAATGCCACCTTCTCATACTGCGAACTTCTATTTTGGAAAAAACATTTCTCTTATTTTGATATTTTCTTTTTTTTTTAAGTTTTATTTATAGTCATTTCTTCATATGAATGATTCAAATCTAATTACTGATCTGTACTAATCTGATCTAATTTGAATGTATTTATATTTAAAAATATTTTTATTATGAACTGATTCTCATAAAAATAAGTAATAAATAAAAAAAATACTCGGTATAAAGTGAGTAGAACAGCAAGACAATAAAGCTACCTTAAAAAGCTGAAAAAAGCTGGCCCGGACGATGCTTAGAGGAAGAGACCAAAGATATGGTCATGGGAATTAAGATTTTTTACCCTTTCTTAAATAGGGAGCATTCGGTACCTCCTGACAAGCGATAACACATGTTCCTTGGGATCACAGTCCCCGTCTCCAAACCCCGCTGCTCCCTTTAGAAGGAAGATGGGGGATCGGGCGATGAGCGGGAAGCAGGGGCGGTGTAGGAGTTGATGCGGCGGAGAGGATGGGAAAGGCGGCGAAGAACTGTCGGGAGGAAGAGAGAAGAAAGAGAGGTTATAGATCTGCGGATCGGAGAAAGAGAGAGTGAGGTAGGGGTGTATATGGGGTACGAATTGACAATACAAAATCACACTTCCCATTTTCTCCTGAGCAGGCTATCTCCTTCTTCCTCTTCTTCTTCTTCTTCTTCTTCTTTGAAATTGTAAATCTCCTTCTTATCCATCTCGTGCCTCTTTGATCTTCATATGTCTCATGGTTTTTTAAAGATTTTTTTAAACTTTTTTTATTAGTTCATATCCCATGTTTCGTATCCGCCAATAGCTTCTCGGGTCTTGGAGACAACAAGTAATGCTGCATCTTTATGCAGATTGGTGGGCCAAGTTTAAAGCGAAAGAGAGGTGACGAAGAACAATATTAAGAGAAGAAGTGTGTCTTGCCTATTGTTGGATCTGTAGGATTCAAGGTGTGGTTTTAAATTTGTATTTATATGTGATTTTGTTGATTTGTTCATTTTATAATTCAGTGTCCTGCTTAAACGTGATACAAAATGAATATGAACATCTCAACCTTTAATAAGAGTACATCTTAAGGTTATACTTTTTGGAAAAGACTTATAGACTTTGGTAGCAGCACTGTGTATTATGAGATGTCTTAGCACATGAAATTTGTCATATTAAGGGAAACATAGGGTTATACTGTTGGTGACGACTTAGATTTATGTTTGTATTTTTTCCTGGATTTAATATTGAAAGGAGGTAAAAGTATCACCAAGAGGGGTAGTGAAAGGAATGTCTAGGGAGTGAGTTTCGATTATTGAAGCACAGAAATTGGTTATTCAAAATGTTTGGATTCTGACTGCATCTTCCCTGAATATGAAATGAGAGCGGCCCGCTGCTTCAACCAGAGGCGGACGAAGGGTAGGTGAGGGTAGGCATTAATTATTCGCTGACTCACCCAATTATGTTAAATACTCTGTATTTGTAAAAATTTTACCATTTCCATTTCTATTTATTTGAAGGGGCAATCAACCGTCGATCATTTCCCGTCGTTTTTGCTACTATTGTTTCGAAGTAGCTTACCTTAAGTTTTTTAACTAAGACATTTGTATGGTTTTCAATTTGCTTCCCGACTCTCCCTTTTTCCAAGGGGCTTTGTTTTGGTCTTTCCCTTTTGTACTGTATTTTCTTTTACTTTTCTTTTAGTAGTATTTATAACAATCTTCATTCTTTCTTTAATCAGCTTAATATTTTTTCCCTATTATGATTCATGTTTGGGTTTCTTTTTCTTATAATGTTTTATTCCCCCATGTAGCACCTTCCAATTTCCATATTCCTTCATACAAAGTTGTTTAATTAATCTTTGTATTTGTGGAAATGTGGAACATTTGTCAATGACAAAGGTGTGACATTCAATAATTGATTAATCATTACTACTGAATAAGGCTGTTTGCTTATACGAAATGACACATTTATTGAGAAAATTGGACTATACAACGGGATATGCTTTTACTTTTCGTAATGACTTCTTTCCATTCCATGAACTACTTCCATGAATTATTTTAAACTTTTAGGGGTACTCTGGAAACGATGGCTGTGCTTAGAATTCTGGTTGCACACTGTTTTGGTTTCTTTGTTGTTGGCAGGTTTGGACTAAGATTAAGATTGACATATTGGTATTTTCAGTGTTCTTTATTTTTTACATTTTATAACTTTTCAGTATGGTGAGCCTGGTTAGCAACATTTTTTTAATGAAACTAAGCCTGAACCTAATAACATTTTGGGTTTATTGGTTTATTGGTTTGATTCTTTGATTTATGCACCTTTTGGCAAAGACGTGCTTGGCCCAGTGAATCTTCTTCTTTCAACTGGAGGGTGGCGATCACGGCCAGAAGTCTTGAAAAAGATGTGTGTGATCTTTGGTGCTTTTAATGAACTTTTATTAGAATTTATTTCTTTCCCCATTGCTATCCTCCAAGAATTGGGATTAACAAGCACATTTGTTATTATAGAAATCAATAGCTGCTTTAAGACAGAAAAATTTGGAAGGCCACAGGTGGAGAATATTTCATGGCGAAGGCCAGGTTAGAATGTGCTATCTCTATATTCATGTTGTAATTCAATTTGTGTTGTTCTCTGTTCATCTTTGGCAGGCAATATTCCTAGGGCCTTAAGTCTCCACTATTATGCATAATGACAGGTGATTTACCAAATAGGAAATGATTCAATTTATTCGTTAGATGAGATCTTAAAAGCTTTATGTTACTCTAGGATCTTTCATACCTGGGTTTTTGAGAATGCATAATGAATATTAAGTATTGATTAAACATAAATGGCCACGACCGTGATTGCTTGAAAGGGGTAGAGGACTGAGGCAAGGCACCCAGTGTACCCTTTCTCTTTCTCATTGTCCTTGAATAATTTCCTACATTGAGTTATATACAGAGTACAAAAAAGTAACGGTTCTAATGATCTGTATGATGTTAATGCCCATTTACTTGCCTCAACTGTTCCTGCAGATGCTTTTCCCTCTTGAACTCTAATATTTTAATTGTTTGCTGATTGTTTCTTCCAGGATACATGGCCACAGAAGGTATGGCAGGTATAAACACCAAGTATAACTACTTTTTGATACTGAAGTGTACCTTTCTTTAACATACTTCTTTCCCTATTGCACATTTCAATGTAAATGTTCATATTTGAATAGGCCCCCCATGAAGAAATCAGCCCCAAGCACAACAGTGTACATTGCATGAAAATAATCCAGGTAAGCCTATTACTACAGAACCCATTACGAATACAATTTTTAAAATATTTACATTGTTTCTTAATTAGAAATCAGCAAAAAACCCATCAGTTTAGCACTTCCTGTACTAGGAGACTTGGCAGGTCCTAAGAAATATCATAGGTATTTCGTAATAACCCATCAACAAAATGTTTGTTTTCGAAGCATCCTATCACAATTTATGGTCCCTTTTGAATAAATGAGACTCTGATGATATAATTTAGAACATATGATTTGAATGTAGAACTTTTACTTCTCTTTTTACATGAGTATACTATAAATTACATGAACATGAAAACCTAGATGAATGTTTCATTGGTTATCTGTTCTAATTAATTGATCAATCAGGGTTAAGTTTGCCACTTTTTAATGATTCCCTACTTCAATCTCTTAACGTTATTTATTTTGTCTAAATTGACCCTTCTACCCCTATTAATTCACTTGAATTTTCAGTCACCGTGGANTACATGAGTATACTATAAATTACATGAACATGAAAACCTAGATGAATGTTTCATTGGTTATCTGTTCTAATTAATTGATCAATCAGGGTTAAGTTTGCCACTTTTTAATGATTCCCTACTTCAATCTCTTAACGTTATTTATTTTGTCTAAATTGACCCTTCTACCCCTATTAATTCACTTGAATTTTCAGTCACCGTGGATAGTCAAACAAAGTGTCGGCTGGAAGGCATGCCTTATAGAGCTAGGGTTAGAGGTAGGTTAGTGGGCTATGGCGACCTTAATAATAGTTCATGTTTTTCTTTAATTTGGAATAAATGGCTATATTGATATAGTAATTACCAAAGTGACAATATCGTTCCACACATAATATATAGTATACGCAAGTAGCTTATTCTGATTAGTTTTGATTATGAGATGAACACGTTAGTTCAATCGTATTTCCTAAATGTTCTTCAGGTTTGTGTGCTTTTTTTAAGCGTTGGGTTCAATGCACGGGTTCTACCTTCCAATCGCCTAGGCAATTAGGCGCCCGCCTAGGCATCCTCTAGGCGAGTGGGCTATGGCGACCTTAATAATTTTATAGGTACTAATGTAAAAGCATGTAGTATGAAATAAGTTATTAAAGAGTACATACTTTGAAATATATGAACAAATGTTTTTTTAAATAGAACACATTCCTTTTCAAATTCCTAGAACCAAACCTATTATAAAAGAAAATACATATCCTCAAAAGAAAAAAAAAGAACACAAATTCTGTTGGCTTTACTCTGTAGTTAGAAAAAAACACAACACTTTATTACTTATTTGAGAACAGTTGCGCACAAGAGTCGATATACTGTAGCTAGGTTTGCCGTCAAAACTGAAGGGTCGCGAAGCCTATCGCGTGGCCAGGTTTCCAGGTTTGTCGTCAAAACTGTACATCGCATCCAAGTAGATCTTAAGATCTTGCGACAGAAGGTATGGCAGGTATAAACACCAAGTATAACTACTTTTTGATACTGAAGTGTACCTTTCTTTAACATACTTCTTTCCCTATTGCACATTTCAATGTAAATGTTCATATTTGAATAGGCCCCCCATGAAGAAATCTGCCCCAAGCACAACAGTGTACATTGCATGAAAATAATCCAGGTAAGCCTATTACTACAGAACCCATTACGAATACAATTTTTAAAATATTTACATTGTTTCTTAATTAGAAATCAGCAAAAAACCCATCAGTTAAGCACTTCCAGTACTAGGAGACTTGGCAGGTCCTAAGAAATATCATAGGTATTTCGTAATAACCCATCAACAAAATGTTTGTTTTCGAAGCATCCTATCACAATTTATGGTCCCTTTTCAATAAATGAGACTCTGATGATATAATTTAGAACACATGATTTGAATGTAGAACTTTTACTTCTCTTTTTACATGAGTATACTATAAATTACATGAACATGAAAACCTAGATGAATGTTTCATTGGTTATCTGTTCTAATTAATTGATCAATCAGGGTTAAGTTTGCCACTTTTTAATGATTCCCTACTTCAATCTCTTAACGTTATTTATTTTGTCTAAATTGACCCTTCTACCCCTATTAATTCACTTGAATTTTCAGTCACCGTGGA